TCTGACATCATTCTTTAAACTCCTTGAATATAGTTTTATAGAGTTCTAGGAAACTTTAATAAAAAAGGTTATTGTGATCAGTAATAGTTTGTGGTTTGATGATTAGCTATATGGATTGGATCTATAGGGAGTAAATCCTGTCAATGTTAGGATTACTTCCCACTTACAGCACAATACATGTTCTAACCAGTCATTGTGGCAGTGTTTTCCTTCCAAAATATTTTTTCCCATGCCTTCAGCATTTTGGTTTTTATAAAGACAAGATTTATTATTGCTTTATAGAAAATTTTCTGTAGACATTGGCTATGTTTGCACAACATACTAACCAGGTCAATTTAAATCTTGCAGCTAGATTTGTACATATCAGGTTTTGATGGTATTAATCTTAGATAGGTTGTTGTTTTTTTGTAACACTTTGTTCTGCAAGCCAAGTTTATCTGTCTTGTTTATAATTCAAAGTATTGCACAAATACAGAAATTGGGTTAACTAAGTTATCTGAGTACAATCATTGAGAAACGTTATGGAAGTTACTGAATTTGCAGGTAATATATATGCCTATAAAACTGAAATACCTGAACTGATTTTTGAAAATCTACTCATGTTCATAGATATCAGTAATGAGGGTTTGCAACCACAGTGCTGCTAATCCTTAAAAATATTCCCTTGCTCCCCAGCTAACCTTCAGAAACACCACTAGTTTCCTACAACAAAATATGAATAATATTGCAATTACAAATCTATAACTTGTGCTCATATTTTGAATATTGCAGCTATCACACAGTATTGTTTAACATAAGCCTAGTAAGCAGCAGTGGTGTTTTTTTTTGGGGGGGGGGGACACTGCCACAGTGCTTCATATGGAAGAGTGCCCAGGGCAGATGCTGCTTAAGATGGTAGAGAATATCACAAAATAATAAAGCAAAATTTGTGCAGTTGTATGCTGTTTTCTTGTTATGCATGACGTGTATTATGTTAACATTAATGACCCGTTCTATTTGTGTCAGTCTCCTTTTCAAAACATTACAAATAGTATTGCAATCCAACAATATAGGTGCCAGTAAAGAACAGATCGCTCTTTTTCTATTGCGATTGATAATGGGAAATGTT